TATAGTATAGAGGTACTCAATAACAGTGTATAGTGAATAGAGGTACTCACTAACAGTATATAGTATAGAGGTACTCAATAACAGTGTATAGTGAATAGAGGTACTCACTAACAGTATATAGTATAGAGGTACTCAATAACAGTGTATAGTGAATAGAGGTACTCACTAACAGTATATAGTATAGAGGTACTCAATAACAGTGTATAGTGAATAGAGGTACTCACTAACAGTATATAGTATAGAGGTACTCAATAACAGTGTATAGTGAATAGAGGTACTCACTAACAGTATATAGTATAGAGGTACTCAATAACAGTGTATAGTGAATAGAGGTACTCACTAACAGTATATAGTATAGAGGTACTCAATAACAGTGTATAGTGAATAGAGGTACTCACTAACAGTGTATAGTGAATAGAGGTACTCACTAACAGTATATAGTGAATAGAGGTACTCACTAACAGTATATAGTGAATAGAGGTACTCACTAACAGTGTATAGTATAGAGGTACTCACTTACAGTGTATAGTGAGTAGAGGTACTCACTAACAGTGGATAGGGAATAGAGGTACTCACTAACAATGTATAGTGAATAGAGGTACTCACTAACAGTATATAGTGAATAGCGGTACTCACTAACAGTGGATAGTGAATAGAGGTACTCACTAACAGTGTATAGTATAGAGGTACTCACTGACTGTGTATAGTGAATAGAGGTACTCACTAACAGTGTATAGTGAATAGAGGTACTCACTAACAGTGGATAGTATAGAGGTACTCACTTACAGTATATAGTATAGAGGTACTCACTAACAATGTATTGTGTGCAGAGGTACTCACTAACAGTATATAGTGAGTAGAGACACTCACTAACAGTATATAGTGAGTAGAGGTACTTACTAACAGTGTAGAGTGAATAGAGGTTCTCACTAACAGTGTAGAGTGAATAGAGGTACTCACTAACAGTATATAGTATAGAGGTACTCACTAACAGTGTACAGTGAGTAGAGGTACTCACTAACAGTGCATAGTGAATAGAGGTACTCACTAATAGTATATAGTATAGAGGTACTCACTAACAGTGTACATTGAGTAGAGGTACTCACTAACAGTGTATAGTGAATAGAGGTACTCACTAATAGTATATAGTGAGGAAAGGTATATGTTGTTATGTGAGTTTGCAATGGAAAGCAATATGCTATGATTGTAATAAATTCCAGGATAATTGGCGTGATGTTTTGAGTAGCGAAATGATCCGTTACATTTCTGATTACCGTCTTTGCCGTACCTTATGTTTTTTTCGTAGATGGTCGGTATTTGTTGTAAAGAATTCTTAAATATTTTGTAATGTGGTACAATCGCGTTTGATAAGTCCGGTAAGGTGATTGAAATAGGTACTCTGCTGGTAAACATTATTGAAAATATTTTCATCAAGTTCCGACGTACAGCGCTTGTTTGGCACCCGATAGATTTCTGATTAATACAATGGCATGCAGCCAATCTTGTTGAACAGATTTTGCACTCTAGATCATATGGCCATCTCGACAACAACGGCGCCGACCTCGTTAAGATTACACGGATAATTAGGGGCCATTTGGTGTAAAGATTGAATATCACATTCTAGGAAATCTCAATGTTTCGCTTAATATGAATGGTTTCTTTGTCACGATGATGCGCTGTATATTAAGCGGAACACTTTTGTTTCGGATATAACATCTCCAATGAAATATACATTACAGAGGAACAGCTATGATCGTTTCCATTTCTGGGTCGGATACCACACATCATAAACGATATCCCTACATTCTCAGTTACGACATAAAACAACAATTAACAGGAATACTCATCAGGGATCACTGCATTCGTCAACACGTTAATCACGGTTCCAAGCGATTTTAAAGATGCTAAGGAGCATTCCACGGGATACATTTGTAAGAAGAATTTTCAAGTTATTCTAAACAGTACATACATCTTCAAGTGCCACAGTGGTGGTGAAAACGTTACACAGTTTCTATATCATATATAAATATCATCACGCTTAATTCATCATCAGGACGTTACATACAAGTTTTATTCGTAGACAGAAATAGTGATCAGATAAAAGGAGGAGAGAACAAAAATCAGCAATTTCATCTTCAGAATATTTTCATTCTAAAGGATAAATAAAGGGGGAAATTGTAACTCTCTACAGTAGTAGCTGTAGTGAAAATAGACTTTGTTGGTAAGCTTTCTACAGTAATAGCTGTAGTGAAGGTAAACTTTGTTAGTAACCTCTACAGTAGTAGCTGTAGTGAAAATAGACTTTGTTAGTAATTTCTACAGTAATAGCTGTAGTGAAGGTAAACTTTGTTAGTAACCTCTACAGTAGTAGCTGTAGTGAAAGTAAACTTTGTTAGTAACCTCTACAGTAGTAGCTGTAGTGAAAGTAAACTTTGTTAGTAAGCTTTCTACAGTAGAAGCTGTAGTGAAAGTAAACTTTGTTAGTAAGCTTTCTACAGTAGAAGCTGTAATGAAAGTAAACTTTGTTAGTAACTCTCTACAGTAGCAGCTGTAGTGAAAATAGACTTTGTTAGTAACCCCTACCGTAGTAGCTGTAGTGAAAGTAAACTTTGTTAGTAACCCCTACCGTAGTAGCTGTAGTGAAAATAAACTTTGTTAGTAACCTCTAGAGTAGTAGCTGTAGTGAAATAAAACTTTGTTAGTACCCCCTCTGTAGTGAAAGTAAACTTTGTTAGTAACCTCTAGAGAAGTAGCTGTAGTGAAAGTAAACTTTGTTAGTAACCTCTAGAGTAGTAGTTGTAGTGAAAATAGACTTTGTTTAGTAGCTCTCTACAGTAGTAGCTGTAGTGAAAGTAAACTTTGTTAGTACCCCCTCTACAGTAGTAGCTGTAGTGAAAATAAACTTTGTTAGTAGTTCTCTACAGTAGTAGCTGTAGTAAAAATTAATTTGTTAGTAACCTCTAGAGAAGTAGCTGTAGTGAAAATAGACTTTGTTAGTAGCTCTCTACAGTAGCAGCTGTAGTGAAAATAGACTTTGTTAGTAGTTCTCTACCGTAGTAGCTGTAGTGAAAATAAACTTTGTTAGTAACCTCTAGAGAAGTAGCTGTAGTGAAAATAGACTTTGTTAGTAGCTCTCTACAGTAGCAGCTGTAGTGAAAATAGACTTTGTTAGTAGTTCTCTACCGTAGTAGCTGTAGTGAAAATAAACTTTGTTAGTAACCTCTAGAGAAGTAGCTGTAGTGAAAATAAACTTTGTTAGTAACCTCTAGAGAAGTAGCTGTAGTGAAAATAGACTTTGTTAGTAACCCCTACCGTAGTAGCTGTAGTGAAAATAAACTTTGTTAGTAACCTCTAGAGTAGTAGCTGTAGTGAAATAAAACTTTGTTAGTAACCTCTAGAGAAGTAGCTGTAGTGAAAATAGACTTTGTTAGTAGCTCTCTACAGTAGAAGCTGTAGTGAAAATAGACTTTGTTAGTACTTTCTACAGTAGCAGCTGTAGTGAAAATAGACTTTGTTAGTAGCTCTCTACAGTAGAAGCTGTAGCAAGGTTATAGCCACACGATCGATAAATATATAGGTACATGGATCCTACATGTATACATAATGTACTCGTCTTCTACGTGCGAATCGTGCACCTACATGTTATGTATAGAATGATAAACACGACCTCTGCTTACATAACGTCTGTTTATATGGATGGATGGACCATACCAATACGTATATCATATATACATGATAACCTTGACTTGATTGTTAGGGACTGTAATTGTGAGGACCATGATCGTTAGGGACTGTAATTGTGACGACCTTGATTGTTAGGGACTGTAATTGTGAGGACCATGATTGTTAGGGACTGTAACTGTGAGGACCATGATCGTTAGGGACTGTAATTGTGAGGACCATGATTGTTAGGGACTGTAACTGTGAGGACCATGATCGTTAGGGACTGTAATTGTGAGGACCATGATCGTTAGGGACTGTAATTGTGAGGACCATGATCGTTAGGGACTGTAATTGTGAGGACCATGATTGTTAGGGACTGTAACTGTGAGGACCATGATCGTTAGGGACTGTAATTGTGAGGACCATGATTGTTAGGGACTGTAATTGTGAGGACCATGATTGTTAGGGACTGTAATTGTGAGGACCATGATCGTTAGGGACTGTAATTGTGAGGACCATGATCGTTAGGGACTGTAATTGTGAGGACCATGATCGTTAGGGACTGTAATTGTGAGGACCATGATTGTTGTTAGGGACTGTAATTGTGAGGACCATGATCGTTAGGGACTGTAACTGTGAGGACCATGATCGTTAGGGACTGTAATTGTGAGGACCATGATTGTGAGGACCATGAGGGACTGTAATTGTGAGGACCATGATCGTTAGTTAGGGACTGTAACTTGTGAGGACCATGATCGTTAGGGACTGTAATTGTGAGGACCATGATCGTTAGGGACTGTAATTGTGAGGACCATGATTGTTAGAATTGTGAGGACCATGATCGTTAGGGACTGTAATTGTGAGGACCATGATCGTTAGGGACTGTAATTGTGAGGACCATGTAAATTGTGAGGACCATGATCGTTAGGGACTGTAATTGTGAGGACCATGATCGTTAGGGACTGTAATTGTGAGGACCATGATCGTTAGGGACTGTAATTGTGAGGACCATGATCGTTAGGGACTGTAATTGTGAGGACCATGATTGTTAGGGACTGTAATTGTGAGGACCATGATCGTTAGGGACTGTAATTGTGAGGACCATGATCGTTAGGGACTGTAATTGTGAGGACCATGATCGTTAGGGACTGTAATTGTGAGGACATTAATTGTTAGGGACTAATTGTGAGGACCATGATCGTTAGGGACTGTAATTGTGAGGACCATGATCGTTAGGGACTGTAATTGTGAGGACCATGATCGTTAGGGACTGTAATTGTGAGGACCATGATCGTTAGGGACTGTAACTTTGAGGACCTTGATCGTTAAGGACTTTCATCGAGTGGGTGATAGCTTTGATGCCTTCATACCAACAGAAAATGTACCCTGCGGTGAGTGGTGAATTGAGGACATTTAAAGTCAATTTCACGATGATCGATCTGGCTTATATTGTTATTGTAACAAATAGCACTGATCTGGTCGGATCGATGATATAACTAGATAACTTAAACGGTTAAAGGCATGTCTATTGTTGCCGTTAAATATCATAGTTAAAACGTCACAATGATCCTGATACGGGATGGTTAAGCGTCTGTGTGATGTAGAGGAGATAAAGCGACCTATCGATCCGCCGTATAGATTTTTAGTACATATTTACTATGCAGTTGAAGGCGTGTCGTAGAAATTATCAAGTCAAAATTCTGGCATGTAGACAAAGTGAATGCTTGGGTTAAGTTGAAAACAGTCATAAAACACAACCACTGTTGTCGTCATCATCATCATCCTTTTTACCAAATAACATGGACACACATCACATGTACTCTCCGTATTCAGCTATTGGCCCTGTATTTCAACCCCAGGTGGCGTAAGACTGTTTGTTGGTTTTGTTTTTATATGTGGGCGAAACAAGGTCTCACGTGTACTCTCTTACATGTAGGTAATCTATTTACGTAAATCATCATCATCATCATCATCATCATCATCATCATCATCATCATCATCATCATCATCATCATCATCATCATCAACCACAATCACCAGTCATCATCATCATCATCATCATCATCATCATCATCATCATCATCATCATCATCATCATCCAAGGATCAAATGGCAGATAAACAGAAATCATCGAACTCCAATAACGAGATTAGAATTAAAACAACCCCTAGTTTCCGTCTAATTAAACAGTGGTAAGGCGATTTGCTCTGATACCGACTAAAACTTCATGGTATATCAAATATCTGCAACACTGGTAACACAAGAGTTTGTGTGAGATATCACCAAGGCCCTGTGTCCCATCTAGGAGCACGCTACTGTTTGAGCACGAGGTCCCGGGGGACACATCAAAAACAATTAAGATCGGAGACCCGGGGCCCGGTACACCCCGCACCATTATCTGGTTTGTATCCTTACAATTCCATCTCCTTTATTAATGCCGGCGATGGACGTTCATACATGTAAATATCGATTGAACATTTACGCCCTGAATTGTAGATTTTTCTATCTCCCGTACGTGTGCTTATAACGTTCACAATTAAGTACACTGTAGCCGTGTGCTCAAACTGTGACGTCACTCCCCTGCCACGTGTGGCATGATCTTCACTAAACTAATAACGCATTTATCGTGTCAAAGGAATGTTGTTCTGGACAAATTGTGGTCGCTGACAAATCATAGTAGACAAACCTTACTTAAGATGTGGAGATATTCATTAATTTAAAAAAAAGTTCTTGATCCTTAAAACACCTAGAATGTGCATAACTGAAAAGGAAATATTATATCGAAACATTGCTGATGCTAATGTCACGCAGTTTTAATTCGAAGAACACGCTATTGTCCTGGATGAAGCATGATTTTAGGGTTTAGTTTAGGGATAATTTCATTCTTTATCAAAGTGTCCTGGTATATCAAGGATTTACCCTGGGGCTCCAAAGTGTCCGGTTATATCAAGGATTTACCCTGGGGCTCCAAAGTGTCCGGTTATATCAAGATTTTACCCTGGGGCTCCAAAGTGTCCGGTTATATCAAGGTTTTACCCCGGGGCTCCAAAGTGTCCGGGTATATCAAGGTTTTACCCCGGGGCTCCAAAGTGACCGGTTATATCAAGGTTTTACCCCGGGGCTCCAAAGTGTCCGGTTATATCAAGGTTTTACCCCGGGGCTCCAAAGTGTCCGAGTATATCAAGGTTTTACCCCGGGGCTTCAAAGTGTCCGGTTATATATATCAAGGTTTTACCCTGGGGCTCCAAAGTGTCCGGTTATATCAAGGTTTTACCCCGGGGCTCCAAAGTGTCCGGTTATATCAAGGTTTTACCCCGGGGCTCCAAAGTGTCCGGTTATATCAAGGTTTTACCCCGGGGCTCCAAAGTGTCCGAGTATGTCAAGGTTTTACCCCGGGGCTTCAAAGTGTCCGGTTATATATATCAAGGTTTTACCCCGGGGCTCTAAAGTGTCCAAGTATATCAAGGTTTTACCCTGGGGCTCCAAAGTGTCCGGGTATATCAAGGTTTTACCCCGGGGCTCCAAAGTGTCCGGGGTTTTACCCCGGGGCTCCAAAGTGACCGGGTATATCAAGGTTTTACCCTGGGGCTCCAAAGTGTCCGGTTATATCAAGATTTTACCCTGGGGCTCCAAAGTGTCCGGTTATATCAAGGTTTTACCCCGGGGCTCCAAAGTGTCCGGTTATATCAAGATTTTACCCTGGGGCTCCAAAGTGTCCGAGTATATCAAGGTTTTACCCTGGGGCTCCAAAGTGTCCGGTTATATCAAGATTTTACCCTGGGGCTCCAAAGTGTCCGGGTATATCAAGGTTTTACCCCAGGGCTCCAAAGTGTCCGGGTATATCAAGGTTTTACTCCGGGGCTCCAAAGTGTCCGGGTATATCAAGGTTTTACCCCGGGGCTCCAAAGTGTCCGGGTATATCAAGGTTTTACCCCGGGGCTCCAAAGTGTCCGGGTATATCATGGTTTTTTATCCTCGACTCACATATTTTGAATTCGGATTTTATTTACTTGTCAATGAAAGTCCGTAGTTTCAGTTTACAAACTGACCCAGTAAGAAAAGTGACATTGAAAGCGGGACAAGGTGAATTAGAATCGTCAATCGCCTTCCTCTCTTGAAGAACAATACAACCGTAATCTTCTTAAAACTTAGATTTTTCTACTCATAGAATTGTCATTAAATATTAAAATTGGCAGCGTATAGGAATATAGGAAATACACAGAGTAGGCGACAAACATACATGTATATGTACGGTATCAAAATTCCTAAACACCAAGACAATCAGCGTCTTGTAACTGGGTCAAGTTGAACTGACCGCAATATGTCGCTAGCCTGGAGTCAGACATGTTGATTAAAGACTGAAATATATTGTGTCCAATCTATTTTTAAGTATATAATTAGATTTTTATCGCGGAGCTTGCCTATTATACAATGTTCTAAAATTACGTCAGACTCCGGTTTAATTCCCTTTAGAAAACCGATAATGATGGTGTCAGGGACAACAGTGATGGTGCCAAGGACAACAGTGATGGTGTCAGGGACAACAGTGATGGTGCCAAGGACAACAGTGATGGTGTCGGGGACAACAGTGATGGTGCCAAGGATAACAGTGATGGTGCCAAGGACAACAGTGATGGTGTCAGGGACAACAGTGATGGTGCCAAGGACAACAGTGATGATGTCAGGGACAACAGTGATGTGTCAGGGGCAACAGTGATGGTGCAAAGGACAACAGTGATGGTGTCAGGGACAACAGTGATGTGTCAGGGACAACAGTGATGGTGCCAAGGACAACAGTGATGATGTCAGGGACAACAGTGATGTGTCAGGGGCAACAGTGATGGTGCCAAGGACAACAGTGATGGTGTCAGGGACAACAGTGATGTGTCAGGGGCAACAGTGATGGTGTCAGGGACAACAGTGATGATGCAAGGACAACAGTGATGGTGTCAGGGACAACAGTGATGGTGCAGGGACAACAGTGATGTTGCCAAGGACAACAGTGATGGTGCCAAGAACAACATTAGTGGTGCCAAGGACAACAGTGATTGTGCCAAGGACAATAGTAATGTTGTCAGGGACAACAGTGATGGTGCCAAGGACAACAGTGATTGTGCCAAGGACAACAGTGATGGTGTCAGGGATAACAGTGATGGTGTCAAGGATAACAGTGATGGTGTCAAGGATAACAGTGATGGTGTCAGGGACAATAATGATGGTGCCAAGGACAACAGTGATTGTGCCAAGGACAACAGTGCCAAGGACAACAGTGATGGTGTCAGGGATAACAGTGATGGTGTCAAGGACAACATTGATGGTGTCAAGGACAACAGTGATGGTGTCAGAGACAACACTGATGGTGCAAAGGACAACAGTGATGGTGTAAAGGACAACAATGATGGTGCAAGGGACAACAGTGAAAGTACCAAGGACAACTGTGATGTTGTAAGGGACAACAGTAATGGTGCCAGGGAACACAGTGATTGTGTCAGAGACAACAGTGATTGTGCCAGGGACAACAGTGATGGTGCCAAGGACAACAGTGATTATGTCATGGACAACAATGATGGTGTCAGGGACAATAATGATGGTGCCAAGGTGTCAGGGACAACGGTGATGGTGCAAAGGACAACAGAGATGGTGTCAGAGACAACAGAGATGGTGTCAGAGACAACAGAGATGGTGTCAGAGACAACAGAGATGGTGTCAGTAGTGATACCACAGATTACAGTGATGGTGCTAAGTCTGACCATCGTAGTGTCAAGCCTGTTTATGAGAATGTAGTGTGCACATTTATGATGTGAGATTCTACAGTGAAGGTGTCCGGATTGATAATGATGGTGTCAGTGTACACACACGCACGGAGTCTACATGAATGGCATCGGGGCATCAAGGGTGAACGCCATTGTATATACATATGACATGTTTAAGTACAGATACTGAAATACGAAATAATTAGTTTTTGATTAAATTATGGACGAAGTGCCTCGAGTGAGATTAAGGTTGACAAGCTGAGGATGAGGTTAAATGTCGCTGACGAGTTAGATGTGTGAAGCTCCGTCACAGAATTGTATGTGAATTTTCAATCATTATTGAGGATCCTTGTTAATGTCATATTAAACACTATCTAAGTATCGCAATTCAATTGTAGCGGTTGTATTGTCAACCAAGCTTTCTTAAAACTTACACATTAAGAAGGAGAGAGCTACACTGTAGTTCGACATCATCTCATCTTCTATGTTGACTATCTCAAGGTGTTTGTCAATAATCGAGAGACTTGAATCGTTTTAAAACTGAAGCTGAAATTGATTTCCTACGGTGTCCTGTACTTTTCGAAATACAACGAGAAATTGCTTTTAAAGCTGCAATGTGTCGAGGAGGTTTGCTTTGCTATTCGAGCTGCTGCCCTGCCCGTAGATGTCCCCCAGGGGCTGGGCTAATCAGTTCATAGTCGATTTAAATCAGGGTTGGGTCGACAGGCTGCTGTATACGATTCCTGACACGGTGTCACAGAGGAACATTCTTAGACTCGTGTGCTAAAGACACTCAGTAGAAACACTTCATGTGTCATAATATCATTCAAGGTATCATAACACACGTCATATCATGTGTCGTATGACATGTCTCATCAGGTGTCAAGTCATATGTTACATTACACGTGTCGCATCAGATGATTCAAGGTATCATAGCACACGTCATACCATATGCGATATTATATGTCTTTCCAGATGTCATATCACAAGTCACATCAGGTGTCACGGTTTACGTTACATTACATGTGCCACATCAAATGCCGTAACAGGTGTCATATCACACATCATACACGTGTCATGCTTCATGTGTCATATCAGGTATTGTTTAAGTCTGTACACCACTTTTCACATCATGTGTCATACCAATTATCGTATCAGACTAAAATTTTGTTTCATTCATATTTTTAAAAAAAATTTACAAACCGCTGGTTATCTCGAACAAAAACTAGAACCAGATTGCGTCATGCCCATATTTACAAGGAATGGACCACTTTTCTCTCCATAACAATCCTCAAAAACCAACCCTCCATGTCAACCCGTAATGTCAAAATACTATAACCACACTCCATAACAACACACAATAACCACATTCCATAACAACACACCATAACCACATTCCATAACAACACACCATAACCACATACCATAACAACACACCATAACCACATTCCATAACAACACACCATAACCACATTCCATAACAACACACCATAACCACATTCCATAACAACACTCCATAACAACACTCCATAACCACACTCCATAACAACATTCCATGACAACACCCAATAACCACATTCCATAACAACACACCATAACCACATTCCATAACAACACTCCATAACAACACTCCATAACCACACTCCATAACAACATTCCATGACAACACCCAATAACCACACTCCATGACAACACTCCATAACAACACTCCACTCCATAACAACACTCCATAACAACACTCCATAACAAAACTCAATAACAACACTCGATAACCACACTCCATAACAACACTCCATAACAACACTCCATAACCACACTTTATAACAACACTCCATAACAACACCCAATAACCACACTCCATAACAACACTCCATAACAACACCCAATAACCACACTCCATGACAACACTCCATAACCACACTCCAAAACAACATTCCATAACAACACCCAATAACCACACTCCATAACAACACCCAATAACCACACTCCATGACAACACTCCATAACCACACTCCATAACAACATTCCATAACAACACCCAATAACAACACTCCATAACAACACTCGATAACCACACTCTATAACAACACTCGATAACAACACTCCATAACCACACTCCATAACAACACTCCATAACAACACTCCATAACAACACTCTTTAACAACACTCCATAAACACACTCCAGAACAACACTCCATAACCACACTCCATAACCACACTCCATAACAACCCTCCTTGACACTCCTACATAATATCCTACTTGACACCCCTACATAACAATCCTCCTTGACTTCCCTACATAACAACCCTCCTTGACTTCCCTACATAACAATCCTCCTTGACAGACATTCATAACAACCCTCTTTGACACCCCTGCATAACAACCCTCCTTGACACATTCATAACAACCCTCTTTGACACCCCTACATAACAACCCTCCTTCCCGCCCCTACATAACAACACTCCTTGACACCCCTACCTAACAACACTCCATAACAACCCTCTTTGACACACATTCATAACAACCTCCCTACATAACAACCCTCCTGGACACCCCAACATAACAACCCTCCTGGACACCCCTACATAACAACCCTCCTTCCCGCCCCTACATAACAACACTCCTTGACACCCCTACATAACAACCCTCCTTGACACCCCTACATAACAATCCTCCTTGACACCCCTACATAACAATCCTCCTTGACACCCCTACCTAACAACACTCCATAACAACCCTCTTTGACACACATTCATAACAACCTCCCTACATAACAACCCTCCTTGACACCCCTACATAACAACCCTCCTGGACACCCCAACATAACAACACTCCTGGACACCCCTACATAACAAAACTCCATAACAACCCTCTTTGACACACATTCATAACAACCTCCCTACATAACAACCCTCCTGGACACCCCAACATAACAACACTCCTGGACACCCCTACCTAACAACACTCCATAACAACCCTCTTTGACACACATTCATAACAACCTCCCTACATAACAACCCTCCTGGACACCCCAACATAACAACCCTCCTTGACACCCCTACATAACAATCCTCCTTGACACCCCTACATAACAATCCTCCTTGACACCCCTACCTAACAACACTCCATAACAACCCTCTTTGACACACATTCATAACAACCTCCCTACATAACAACCCTCCTGGACACCCCAACATGACAACCCTCCTTCCCGCCCCTACATAACAACACTCCTTCCCGCCCCTACATAACAATCCTCCTTGACACCCCTACATGACAACCCTCCTTCCCGCCCCTACATAACAACACTCCTTGACACCCCTACCTAACAACACTCCATAACAACCCTCTTTGACACACATTCATAACAACCTCCCTACATAACAACCCTCCTGGACACCCCAACATGACAACCCTCCTTCCCGCCCCTACATAACAACACTCCTTCCCGCCCCTACATAACAATCCTCCTTGACACCCCTACATGACAACCCTCCTTCCCGCCCCTACATAACAACACTCCTTGACACCCCTACCTAACAACACTCCATAACAACCCTCTTTGACACACATCCATAACAACCTCCCTACATAACAACCCTCCTGGACACCCCAACATGACAACCCTCCTTCCCGCCCCTACATAACAACCCTCCTGGACACCCCAACATAACAACCCTCCTGGACACCCCTACATGACAACCCTCCTTCCCGCCCCTACATAACAACACTCCTTGACACCCCTACCTAACAACACTCCATAACAACCCTCTTTGACACACATCCATAACAACCTCCCTACATAACAACCCTCCTGGACACCCCAACATAACAACCCTCCTTGACATCCTACATAATATCCTACTTGACACCCCTACATAACAATCCTCCTTGACTTCCCTACATAACAACCCTCCTTCCCGCCCCTACATAACAACACTCCTTCCCGCCCCTACATAACAACCCTCCTTGACACCCCTAAATAACAATCCTCCTTGACACCCCTACCTAACAACACTCCATAACAACCCTCTTTGACACACATTCATAACAACCTCTCTACATAACAACCCTCCTGGACACCCCAACATAACAACACTCCTTGACACCCCTACATAACAACC